GTACTTACAACGCTAAAATCCGGGTTTCGATACCCATGGTTGGTAGAGCACAGATAGCCCATTGTGTAGCTTTGTGCATAACTACAAACAAACAATTATGAATACACACACAGCCAGGCCAACTTAGGCTAATTCTAGATACCAAACCTTAAAGTGAAACATTTTACTATACAAGACAGCCACTAACACCAGTAGCCGAACTACCGAAATACTGTAAAGCCAAACGTAACTTGCTACAGATAAAATCACAGAAAAATAAATACAGGCAAACGCAGTAAAAAATGGGTATCCCAGTTAGCTTCATAACAACCGGATTCATATTCCATGCTGAGTCAGAACTAAAACTCCCTCACTGTACATGGAGGAGGTGTATATACAGTTAAGCATGCTGGAGAGAATTTAATGAGGTTCATTCGGTATGCTCCATAAAGCTCCCGCCACTTTGGTGGATCGAATGGGTGATTGTCGCGAACTATTTGAGATTCAGTCTGAAAAAATTGCTCAGTAGTTTCAGAAGTAAGGGTCACAACAAGCTGTTTCAGTTGAGTTTACAAGTTCTCGGTTCACATCTTCAGTTGTGGAAACTGTTGATATTACAGGCATCATATCTGTTAACACCAGCCATTTTAACTATATGATATTCGAACAGTTATCACTTGATATGCTATGAATATCCGTCAAGGAAATTCTGTTCAATAGCTTAGAATGTAAGGAGCACCACTTTCTTCCATTCACTGATCATACAATAGGGACTGTCCTACTCATTGGTCCAATCCTTGTGATCAATAGGTTGTCATATTTGCAAATTTTCAGAACTGTCTCCTGTCTTTCCTCTTGTGGTTTATTATGCACTGCTAGTTAAGTATTTTCAGCTCATATTTCCACGTCCAAACACTTGAGTCAAGCACTGAACCATTGATTCAGAACCAGGCATTGCACTGCCTGTACCTGAATCTGTTTATTGCAGAAAATGACTTGTCTGAACTTTTTAGAGAAGTGGCCCAAATCTAAATTTACTGTAACTTTATATTCTTGGGATAAATATGCTTAGCACCATTCAAAAAACCAGTGGGAGTATTATAAATCTTTCTCCCATGGACTCTTGGCCAACACCAGGTTGAGGCATCCTAAACGCCAGGGCTTTAGCATAGCGGTCACACTCAGTGATCCCTACACTTGAACGAGCACTAGGTTTTTCTGCTTGTGGACAGCAGAATGATAACTTATCATAAACAACTTGCCCATCGGCTCTGTGCAATCGAAGATTCTTTGTGATCCACTGTCGCTTGATAGCATACTCCTCATGGACCACCAGCTTCCTCAGTTGGTTCTTGCTGCCTCTTCTGCTGGCAAAACAACTCTGGCTAGTGGCCAAAGTCCACCAGTACCTCCAGTCTTTTTTGGCTACGCTTAGGTGGCTTTGACCAGAGTTGGGGTTAGGTTACTGTGGTAAAGAAAGCCTAGGAGTCCTGAAGAGACTTCTCCATTCAGTCTCGGACCTGGCAGATGCCACACAACTGCAACAACTTTCAATTGTTCTTGTCTCTCGTGCACTACAGTTGGTTTCAGGTAAAGAGCTCAATAAACCATTTTTAGTGTGCCAGAAACTTGCAGTTCTCATTCCTGAATCTGCAAGAAAAAGTCATGATGCTTCACAGCATCTGCAAAAGTCTGAGACACAACAATTCTCTCTGATAACCATCTACCTCCCCAGTGACCCCACTCTTCCTCTTGGTCATAAGTCCTTTGGCTCATATTAAATGCCATTTTCTTAAGAACAAAGCCTTTTTAAACTTAAACATAAGCGTTTAAAGTAGCACAGGGAATTGCACTCATCAAGAGAAAAACAATAACAATCCTGAAGTCACGGCACCAATATGTATTCCTTCTTATCTACTCTAAGATATTCTTAGTTGCACTGATTCCCCTCCGCTTCTCAAGAATTACAAGATAGCTTCCGCAAAATAACAGAGGTTCGGTCAGGAAAAAAAAAGTATGGTGAAAATATTAATCCTCTGAGCTTTGAGAACAAGAGATTGATTTCAATGTTATTAGTTTCAAATTAGAGTCTATCTTCAATCCAAATAAATTAGAAGAACGGAGCAAAGTTTTTAATTAGACTTGATATAACCTTCTTTACGGAAAGTCCAAGCTATAAAAGTAATATATTTAAAGAATGTATATTTCTCTCTTTCGTCAATTTTAGAATAATCCATATTCGCCGATTTCAACTTAAATTAATTGTGTATATATCAACATTAGTAGCCTCCGAATGTGTTTAAAATGTTGCTGCACAGTTTGTTGATGAAAAACTAAATTTCAAAGATATTTTGAAACTGTAACGAAAATTACAGGAACAAGACTTTAAGAAAGTTTCAAAAAATGTGTCATTGTTTTAATTTGTCATAAAATATATTTGAGGAACTTCGTAAAATGCTTACTCACTCATAATAATATAGCACTAACAATTAGAAAAATAAATTGCGTATAAATAAAAATTTACTTTTAGAAACGTACCAGGATAAACGAAATGTAAAACACCACTCTTTGAATTGCATTAACCAATTGTTTTTCTATTAAAAGTTGTAAAACGGTAATATCTTTATGGTATTACTAATATTTAATTATATTAAAAATAAATTTTCCACGAATATTAATTTTGCTTATTAACCTCAATATCATGTATTTTTGACTTTTTGGAGCAAAGTTACATTAGGCTATCCACTGTGCCCACCTTGGGGAAATAGATTCCCTGTTTTACAGGAGGATTGTATTTTGACAACAAAGATATATTATATTAACACAAAGGATGTTGTAGAAAATTTAATTTCATAAAATATAAATTAATACTCACAAAAAGTATACCTTAGGTTGCAAGTATTTAGAAATGAATAAGAAACAATAGTAACATCCGTTTTGAACAAGCTTGGTTTATTCCAACTATACAGATTACAAATATTTTTTTTCTTCTGATCTTACAAGCTGTTACACGAACAACCTTCAAGATGAGAAGGGGCCACAAACTTTCAATTAAAACTTACTAATTAAAAAAAAAAGGGCGAAAACACCAGCAAAGGTGTAGTTATTGGGTAGCAGAAATGAATATTTAACATGTGAATAAAAATTTAGTAAAATGAAAACAAAAAATTCAGTAACCATTCTTGTGGTTCACTTCGATTAATTTTCACATTATAATAAAGTTAGATTTAATTTTGGATAGCTGAGATCTATCGTTTACCCAATTCTCATCAAAGTGGCAAGTTTAATGAATAAAACCCAAAACAAATAGTTCATTCACAAATGGTATTATTCAGATTAATTTTAAAAGCTGACTAGCCTACAAGATACAAAAAAAAAATCTACTGATTTTTACACAATTGAAAAAAGTTAAGAATACTAGTTAAACCTAAAAACGAAATAATGTCACAATTCCAGTTAACATAAAATACATTTAATTTAAACATGTAATGATCACAATTACCATGGTGTATATATATCATCTTATCTCATTTAACTCTGTGGTGGTCATTAGTCTATAAATAATACTATTATTAATGAGATAATTGGCCCTAAGTATTATAGTTAATGAACCTAGTTCTTTGACTTTCAAGGGAAATTGGTTCAACTTTATTTGAATATTTCGTGATAAAAAAAAAATTATCTATTAATAGCCAAGATAATTCTAGTTAAAGAAAAATACAACCGAGTTACATATTCATTACTTGAAATAAATTAAACCTTTATAAATCTAGAATACTGTAGTTTGATGTCTGTTACTAAATACATCAAATATATATTTCTTGATCTGTTACAATATTAAGAGGAAAGTACAATATCTGAATTGCACAAACTTAAAACAAACATATTATTACTAAAAAGGAAGCAAATGCATAACTTTGAAAATATATTACAATGTCACATAAACAAATTTAAAATCCCTTTTCAATATATAAAGAAAAGCACTAGTTTAAAATAGCAATTTTCAAAATCTCATACACCCTTAACTCTTTCATTAAACTACCTGTTTTAAACGATAAAAAAAAACTATTTTTAAGAAACTACAGAAAATGTTCCTTGTTAAAAAGTGTTATAAAGTTTATGGATGAAAAAAAAAGATTGATTTCAACTTATGAATTTTTCCCATTTCATAATTTTTTATTCAGTGAGTACAAGTCAGCTAAACAATGTTCTAATCATGGTACTACGAATGTTTTATAATATCCGAGTAGAAATAATTCAGAAATAAGCATTTAACACTATTATACACAGGTAAATTCTGCCAACCAAGGTTATAATTACTGGAATGTGGTAGAACTAGTGGATTTTGGATAAAATACATTAACAGAATATGTGTGGTCCATAACGAGTTTCATTTTCTGAACAGTTTTTTATTAATGCTGTCTAAACAATATGTAATAATATAAATTTATTGTAGCCCTTACTGACTCACTACTATACATCAATAAAAAAATTTAAAAATAGGAGAACATTTCCCAATTCCAAGAGCTTACACTTTTTTAGTAACTTCTCAAAATTATCTTCTCTTATACTAAAGTGAGCACATTTCAATGATGTATGTTTACTGCTAGTAAACTTTGTACTCAGATAAGAAAATAATAAAAAATGAAGTGTTCCCAATGACAACCACAGTCAAAATTATGTAACTGAACAACACAGTCTTATCCAACATAACTTTATTGCATTATTGCCATAAACATTTAAATGTATAGCTTGAAAATCACAGCTCAAAGCTAATGTAACCTGAAACATAGGTATATTGTATTGATATATATATTACCAACACTAACCAAAAATCCCTCATAGAAGGAATAAATGCAGAATAGGAGAGAAACAATTACACTAAACCTAAGACAAATTGGTAAGTGCAGAGGAATTACTGCATAATCGTTATCATACATATCTCTTTTTTCATCACCTTCAAATTCCAATAAATTCCAAAATTGATAATATGGTTTATTACTAGATACACAACTACAGAATCAAACTCAAGTTTATTCTAATGTAGTACATAAGAATTAGGTGCAGTGAAGATCTTAAAAACACAAGCAATATTCAACCTATCTTTGAAAAATTAAATAGCTATGGCACCTACAAATATAAAAACAGAAAAATTTTCCATATTAATTGCCCTTGATAATTGAACTTAGTGTTTTTTTTTTATGAGTTCCTTTATAATTTTTTTTGCAATTTTGAGACTGGAAAAGCATTCTTTTCTAAATACTTAAAACTTCAACATGAATGTAAAGGGAAGATTTATGTTCAATAAAAGAAATGATTCTCAGGCAATGGTTTGATCAAAACAAAATTTTGTTTCCGGTGTGACATTCAACCAACTTTTCTATGCTTGTTTGCCATATTCAATTAAACAGATCTATGTTCTTTCTTTCATCATCATTTTTTTCTTGTTTTTTTTGTTTGGTTGGGTTTATTTTTTAAATGATAAAAACCTGGCCCATTTACAAAATATCTGGATATTTTTTCATGCAGTTGCTATTTCTTTAAATACTAATCTTCAACAATCAAGACTTGTTTGTTTTCTAAATTTAGGTAGTTTTTCTCTAGGTATCTAAACATACATCAATAATAACTTGTTGGCATTTCATATCAAGACACAAAAGTAATTTATTAACTGTACTTATTGACTATCAAAGTAGGATCTTAAAACACCAAATCACATTTTATCAAACTGCTTGCATTTAAGATGTAGAGGCCAAAATAAAATGTTTGATTCCAAGCACATTAACTTTTTTAATTACCTTACCTAATTAATTCTGTAAAATTACACCTAGAAACATTGTTAAGTACTCAAAACAGATATTTTCCAAGCAGTTTTAATGACAAACTAACAAATTATAACTTAGGCCAAGTTTATTCCCCAGAAGACAAATTTTGTTTCATCATATTTTTTACCTGCTATATATATATATATATATATAAAATAAAAAAAAACTTTCCTTATAAGGGTTTGGAAAATTAAGTCCAAAAACTTCTTTCTCCAGTAAACTACCTTTTAATCGTGTCTCAGCAACATACACAAAATCAGATAAAGGAAATACACAAGGCAAAATATAGAAAGAAATTACTTTTTACATGTTTTTCAGACCACACACACACACATATATATATATATATCAATCTTTTTAAAACAACAAACTTGCCACTTTGACTTACTGTGGTAACAAGAGGACAGTAATGTTTTTACAAACGCAACAAAGGTTATGTAGATTCAAAATCCAATGCGAACTGTGTTTAACTCTAAATATCCAAAAAATTGCTAAACAACTTGCTCCAACAGCAGCCAAATGAAGAAGAAAGCCCATCAAAACCTCTGCTCCGTGGATCAACAGGCAAACATACTGAATGTTATTTGAAATGTAACCAAGTGTCTTTACTACTGCTAATGTCATGCAGCATGAGTCACTGTTCAAGTATGTGTGTGTGTGTGTGTATATATATATGTACACACATACATACACACACACAAAAGGAAAAACAGAATACTGATCTCTTCACTGTAGTATTATCCTATGCTGAAAATGTATACAAAAAAAGATAAGGTGCCATTTAATATATCTAACAAACTTCTTGTCTAATCACAAAGAAGTTTGAATATCAAGCAATAAAAAAATTTCATGGACAAACATGATTAACTCTTTCTGAACTAGTTGCCTACGTAACTTCACCTTTTTAAGTACCAGATATTTGACACTTTTTTATTTTTACTGTTCTAGAGTGAAGCATAAGAAAGTGAGAAAAATTAAAATACTATATTATTATTCTATAGCTTATCATCTCTAAATTTACACCTCAACCAGTAACTCTTCATGTGACTTCTAACTTGTGTATGTAACAAATATGATACGTAAGTAACAATTTCAAGTTACGTTACACTGTTTTTTGTTTTTTTTTAAGTTTATTATGGCAAACCCTAAACACCTGAGATATTAGAACAAAAATATAATAATAATAATAATAATGTCAAACACTATCATTTACGAGTCACTATTAAAACACTGGTACACTCTTAGACTGATGGCGACATGACTAAACAGGAATATATGATGGCAACATCCTTGATACCATCCTCCTCGATGAGGAAGCTATCTTCCTCAAATTGATATCACATGCCCCATGAATGTGCATTCAATAATTTTAAAAGGCATAAATATATTCATAAGCTCCACTAATATTTCAGCTAGTTTTGATAACTGGCATTTATACTTTTATTATACATACAGATGATTTAACAGCTTCTCACTTTTGACTTGGAGGCATTTATTGAGGAAATAACTGAGCAAGAAGATTAACTGCACCATATGGTCAACATTTTGTACCTGTACTTTTGAATTCCTTGCAAGCACTTGTCCTTTTAAATCTTGAAAAATATATATTATAGATGTTCTTAACTAAGCCTTTGTATTAAACACTTCTGTTTATCTATTAACATGGCATATGTTAATTAACTGCTGAAAGAAGAGATAAAAAATGAGAAAACAAGCATCTGTGTTCCTGTTGACCATCCACAGGGCCTAGTTCATCTGTTTATGACTGGGGACACTACAAATGGACAAATCAACTAAACTTCTGCTGTTTGCAAGGGTATTGCAACAACACTTTCCTTAGATTCAGAAGGAGAGGTATGCAACAGCACAGCTTCTTGCTCAGGGCTACAGGCATCAGAGAGTCATTTCTGTCTTCCTGGTTTCTTTTTTTTCTTCTTAAAAAAGCAGCAGCATCTATAAAGTGAAATATATACATATGTAAATCATAGGAATTAAAACATGACTTTATCATTGGAATCAAGATATTTTATTATGGCACAACTGTAGGACTTTTTTTTCATGAAAAAAAGTTTATTGTGCTGCTATATAATGGGTCTATCTGACTAAGAAGTAAAAATAAAAATTGAATGTTAAATTTTCAATCGTCATACATTTTCTTGGCAGTGATTAAAAATTAAAAAGCTTTCATTCCTAGCAAAACCAAATTACTTGAGAAACAATTTTTCAAGGCATCTAATATACTAAGGTTGTAGGTGTTGCATTATATAAATCAAAATATGAGATAACGAAAAAACAACAACCATTTTTTTTCATCCTCAATGTGAGTTAGGCCTTGTAGCTCAAATGTAGCAGCACTAAATCCATTCTTTACAAGTTGTACACAGAACACTTCAATATAATAAAATAGTTAAAGTTACCCTATTAAAAAATTATTTATTCTCAAATACAGTCTAACAAAACCAATAATTTTTAAACATCTTTCATTGGTCTACTATACCAGAGTTTCTCAACCTTTTCAGCCCAGTGACACACTAAATATAGTTTAAAATATTAAGGCACACCAAAAGATACAGCAATACAAATATTTATTTAGAACATTAGATTATACATGTATTATTCATTATAATCAACGGGATACTTGGGCCTACTTCACTGCACATAGATGCTCGATTCGAGGCTCAATAGTGTTTATGACTACTTGAAGAGATTTTTAATTTTTTCCTTATTTCTGAATACAAGACTAACCAATAAATTTAAGTTAGATAAAATTACTCATGAATAGTAGAAATATGTGGCAAAACTTGCTAAGCATCACAACACACCAGTTGAGAAACACTGTATAATACTATATTAAAGATAACAGTTTCTTTGTTATTCCTTTTCTAGCTTTTATATCCTTTGGACGAAAATCAACACTATCTTCTGACTATGCTAGTGCTTTTCAATTTTTATAACAAATTTCACCATAATTAAATAACAGTAATTTACAGTTTGAAACAAACATTTTCACCCATGACAAAGGCCACAAAAATATCTACTCTTTATAAAATATTAAGTTATCAATGAAGTTGCCTGTCAAAGAACTTTATATTCATTAAGCTTATAGCTCTTTCCTTTGTTAGCTTATTAGCTCAAAATATACAGAAGAAGGATCAGTTTAAGATTTAATGGGCTGTTCCAACTTGTTTCTAGATTGGAGTAATGTTTTAGCTTCAGATCTACCTTTGGTAAAGAAGCTGAAACTTCAGCCCACACAATAAACAGGCAGAACCAAGTCCATTAAAGCTAAAACTCTACCACGTCTAATTGCCTAATATACCCTTGAAACATGAGACAAAAAACGATTGGTTCAGAATCAAAGACAGATTAGAAATAATTGCATGCAATATACTTTAATCAAGCTTTTTTTTTTAACTTTTTATATCTCATGTACAAAATACAAGTTTTAAAATATTAGAAATTTTGTCAAACGTAAGTATGACTACATGAAATACAGTGAATATTTTAAATATTTTTTATCTTAAGATTTTTTAGCTAAAAGCTATGGAAATTAATGGAAGGAAAATGGGTATATGTGTAACTTTGCTGTATTTTAGCCTATGCCTGAGTAATAAATATCAAGTAGCCAAGATTTACACACAAAACTTCATATATTCTCTTGAAAGCTTAATCTACAAATTTTAATGTGATTTTTTGAGATAAAAGTTCAGTTTAGTGTCACCATGCTACCTACATTCAATGATTAAATTCTAAAATAATAAACGGATGCTATCTATTCGTTTATAATGTTTCCATAGAAGTGAATCTAACAGGTAACTTTTTTCTAATTAACTAGGTAAGGTCTAACTCCCCCTCTTCAAATGTGGCAAGTACACATACATTTACATTCATCACTGGTGCAAGTCACAGATTAGATACCAAAATGTTAACATCAACAGAATCACATAAAATAGGTGTTAGCTAATATACTTAAATCTTGAGATCATATTTTTTTAGAGGAACATGTATTTCAAGTTTGAGGCCTACACTTTTATAATTTTTAGAAAAACAATATAATGATTTTATCAAACACTGTCCAGTGTACACTATTAAAAAAAGAAAAACAAACTTTTTTTTATATGTATCACTGGCAGAAATGTGTGTGATGATTGTGTTTGTTTTTTTATTACAATTCTTTGGATTGTTTGTTTTTAATTATGCACAAAACTACACAAAGGCTATCTGTGCTCTGACCACCACAGGTATCGAAACCCGGTTTCTAGCGTTGTAAGTCCGTGGACATACCGCTGTGTCACTGGGGGGCTCACTATTCTCCATTGTATAATATTAATCAATTTTACAGTGCACCAAAAATGTAAATCTTTGGTGCATGCTTCTAACTCTGCTCTGGCAGATAACAGTTGGTTGAATGACAGAGCACAAAAATAAAAAAATGAGCTATACAATAATAAGTTTTTACTTACTTAGTTTCTGAAACTACCTCCACTTCTGCTGGAGCTGTTATAAGTGTATTTGAATGACCTGTAGTTGGATCATCATTTGCTAGTTCACCATTTGTTGAGCTCACAACCTGAACCGAACCATGACGATCGGCTGGAGTAAGATGTCCACTCAATAGATTTGGCACCGACTGTCTAGGTTGTTCACTCCAAGCTGTTGTTCTCTGATGATTCCCCTAAATTATATTTTCAACAATGAATTTCTCGTTTTTACGTCTTGAATATCGTCAATTATACAGAACAATAATTTTAAGGTTTTCAAAATAAATGCCTTCCACTTATATTAGGCAAATCAAAATAATATAAACCAAACCACTGCAATATCAAGAAAAATTTACCCAACATAAGATAAATATTTCCAAACATTTGAGCCTGTCACTTCTTATAATGTCAACATTAATTACCAAACTGAGTTAAATTGCAAAACTAAATGTGTATCATGTCACAAGTTTTACATTTTTAAATTTAAAAGGTAATGAAAAATCTGAAATTCAATAGGTTTGTTATAACCTCACAGTTGTTGAAAAGATTTCGTAACTGATCATATAAAAAATCACAGTAAAGACTGCATGATTCAAAAACTTAAGTTCTTTCAATTTTTCACTTGCAACATCAACTTCATAAATACATTATTGAAGTAATCAGAAACCACATCAAATGTTCTTTCATCAGAAATTTGATAAGAATCAATGTTATTCTCCACAGAGTCAAGACAACTCGTGCAAATAGCTTAGAACTATACATGTTTTGGTTGTATAAACAATTATTGTATTTAGTTTTACAAAATTAAAAGGTCATTAAAATTGTGCCACAATAAAATACAATATTTATGTACATCTTCAGTTCAGTGAAGTTTTACATTCAAAACACAAACCAACACATTGTAAACTAACAAGTTATCTACCTTAGCATTAAAAATATTAAAAAAATTTTATTTGTACAGAAAAAACATATTTTGAAACCACAATTACTAGAATAAGAGATATACGCAATGTCGGAAAAAATTCTATACGTTTGTAGGACCCCAGCTTGTGTGCCAACTGTTTTCATGGAAGAACAATCACAAGTTGTATACAGTTGTTTTTTTCCGTCTTATTGCTAAGAAGTACAAATTATAGATAGTTTATTTTTTGGTAACCTCACTAGTGTGCAATCAAATTCAGTTAAAAGTTAAAAAGTAACTACATCATGATAAAGACATTAAAATTATGCATTTTATTTATGGTTATTATTGGAAAAAGATTTACAGGTAATAGCATTGATCCAAAATTGATTCTAGTTCCAGCATTCTGATGGAATGGATATATGTAATTCAATATAAGGATCATAACACAATATCTGAACTAAATACTAAAGTCAGCTGTATACATATATATTTACATATATACACATATAAAATTACCCTTGTATTTGACGTGATATGTCTCTCTCTATTAGGTGAAACTATTACTTCTTGCCCTGTCTGGAGTGAACCCACAGGAGTTGACTAAAAAAAATATGTAAGATCAATAAAGATTCTATTCAGTACATATTTTTAGTTTTAAGCTCTATGACAAACTTAAAAATTATGCATGTAATTTAATGACTATCACACAAACCACAAAACAGCTGAAAAAAATTAAGAATTTTTAAGGCTAACTCCATCGACTTCAACATACATATATGTGAATAAGGATTTGTGAAAACCTCTTGTAAGTTATAAATTTCTTTAGTTTGCTAAGAACATAATTAATAAGTACTGAAATGTGAAGTTTTAGAAAGCACTAAAAATGTTTTCTAGAATTAACAAACAAATTAAGATTTCTTTATGGCTACTACAAGGGATAAGTATTTTTATAGCAATCAAGACACTTATGAAAACTAAAAAAAAATACAGATTATTTAACAGTATCAAATAGTTAAGATTTGTCCTTCGTAATATCTGAAACAAAACTAGCTGAAGGGTGTTTTCTGTTTACATAAAAATGATCTATATCACTAGAAAAACAAAGCTTTTTTACACTGATACATAACACTCACTAATGTAGTTTCATCAAGGTTATATCATCTTTTAGGTTAATGCCTTGAGCCTGTAATGCCATATTGGCATACCAAGTCTTGCAACAGAAAAAAAACAAAACAAAAAACAACAACAGCTAAACAATGGAATATATATATATATATATATATA